CATATATCAAAACACACCATATTTTAACTTGAACATAAAGATAATATGCATTTTTTTTAATTTTAAGACCATTTTGCTCTGTTGCCCATGCTGGAGTGCAGTGGCGTGATCACGGTGTCCGCAGCCTCTGTCTCCAGGGTTCAAGAAATTCTCATGCCTCAGCTTCCTAAGTACCTAGGATTACAGGTGAGGGCAACCACCATGCCCGACTAATTTTTTTTTTCTGTATTTTTAGTAGATACGAAGTTATGCCATGTTGGCCAGGCTGGTCTTGACCTCCTGACCTCAAGTGATCTGCCTGCCTTGGCCTCCCAAGGCCTGGGATTATAGATATGAACCACTGCTCCTAGCCACATATTTTTCTTAATGTAGAAACAACTAAAGGAAAATTACTATTTCCATTAATTATCAATTAGAAATATTGAATACTCTAATCCCAATAATTCCATGAAAGCTTTGACCAAATTATAATGTGTATATGTTTTAGAAAAATGGGATCATAGAAGGAATGCATTTCTAAAAATTTCTTTTTGAGAACACATTTTAAAAAATATATGGAGAAAAAAGCAACAATGTTTATAAGTATATAAAACTGCAAAATACAAGCAGTTAGACGGGTCATTTAAAAAATACATTTCTGTATGGTAAAGCTGAGTTAAATTGCTCAGAGTTCTTTTAGCATGGTGTCACTCTTAGTAGGGTGAACATGTCTCTCAATTGCTTGCTGTGTTGTACCAGCATAATTATTAAAAATGTCCTCTTTTGCTCTCAAAATGTCCCAGTTTAGAAAATAAGCTAGTTATAAATCTTGATACTGTAACCCCCTTAATAGGACAGACCATAACATATCAGAATTGAAGAGTTGCCAACTGATTTATAGAGACACCCTATTACCATTCTTATTAGTCCACCTGTATAAAGCAAATGCCTTATATCACTTAATGATTTTTAAGCCCATTTATTTGAGAAGCAAACAAAAAGAAGATAACTTTTTGATTCCATTGAGAAGCTTGCTACTTGTGCTGTGGTGAGCCAACTGGCAGTATTAGAATAGCCTGGAAGCTTGTCAGAAATGCAGCTCAGGCTAGATTTGCTGATTCTGCATTTTGAGAAGATTCCAAGTGAGTCATATGTGCCTTATGGTTTGAGGTGCACTGGTTTACAGGACTCTGAGAGAAGGATGACTGAATCCAAGCTTGCTTCCCCTCCAGATGCACCTGGGCTATGGATATCAAGTTAATGACAACTTCTGGACTGTAGCTGAACAGTGATGGTCCTATCATTTTCACCCCAAAGATAACTGATGAAAAGGATTTACTTTCAAGTAGAAATTATAACAAGTTAAACACAGAACACAGTCCTGTCTGCAAAGGTGACAGTGCCTGTTCTAGCTCCTGTGGTAGGTACAGGCATCACTCTCAAAGCAATTATTTAAAAAGCAGGGTAGGGAGGAGTACCGGGGTAATATCTCCTCAGCTTGGAATACCCATTGATGAATAGGAGTGCTGTAACTTATACTGGATTGGAGACTTTCTTTATAAAAAAATTAGTAAAGCAGATTGTCATTTTTGAACATATACAAACCATTTTATTTTTGTTTGTGATGCATTTTTAGCTAGCCACTAGTTAAGTGTGCCAGTGGAAACTATTTCCTTCTCCTTTCCTGAGGATGGGTCAGTGTTAGGGTTGCGGGGTCAAGTTCAGTAAATGAGTGGTGAAAAATATTATTTTAAAGGAAAATTTGCATGAAAAGTCTTAAACTATATTCACTTTTTTTCTTTTCAGTCCTTCAAAATAGGTAATCATAAGAGTTTTAAGAAAATCCTCTAAATAACAGTATATGTGCAAGCAACTAATATTGCAAGCTACTTTTCAAATTACGTTATTTTTTTTTTCGGGCTTAAAATATGGAGAAGTTATCCAGAGCAAAGACTTTTAAATGCCTCCCGTGATCACCACGTGCAGAGGAATCATTCAAAAAGGTGATAACTCTAAATATTAATACATCAATTAATAGCCAAAGAGAACAACAAAAACCTCTCTGATCAAACAAACAAGAAAAAACAGTTATTAAAGAACATAGATCTAGCAGTTGCAGGATCATTAGAAAGAAGCTATACTTTCTTTTTCTTTTTTGCTAAGCACTCATAATACTTTAGGAAAAGTTATAAGCAAAGAGCTAATATAAGGTAAAGGCTTCTGTAAAAATGTTCTTTTTCCAGTGGGTAACAGTTATTACTGGCTCCTTAATAAAAAGGACCTGAACACTGTTATCTAAGTTGTACATATGTGGACAATTACAGAGTTCTGGCAATCTTTTTGAATCTAGCTGTGATGGTTATCAAGTCCTGGGATAGAATCTCTGAGTGTTGCTGTATTTAAATGTTTGATTATCCTTATTTAATAACAGTCACATGTGAAGTATTCAGAATAAAAAAAAGAGACAAGCAGTAGGATGCCTGGAAGAATTTGGACTGAAGGAAGCTTATTTCCTGCTGAAGTCTCTACATATATATTAAATTATTGAAAATGTTTTATTATGTGGGTTAGTAAATTCTGCCAATGTTAGAATATCAGTGTTACAGTGCATTGTTTTCCAATTAAAACACTAATATCCAGGCTTTCCCCCCCCCCCTTTTTTTTTGGTCAGTTTTTCAATAGGAAGCTTATGATAGTAAAATCTCTGTAAGAAAATGAAGAGGACAGCATAAACGATGTGAGGATATTGAGGAGAAAAGAGAAATTTGTTTAAAATAATATAAATACCAAAAGAACAATGTATCTAAATAATGTGCTAAGAGACTGATTTGTTTTCAAGTACAAATATCATCTTAAAATCCAGACATGAATAAGTTTCCCAACCTGTCTCCTTTGATTCGCTTAAAGAAACTAGCAAAATTCTGTGCTTAAAAAACCAGCCATGAGTGAAGCAGCGGAGGTTCCCCCTGGGAGGACAGGAGGGATTATATTTCTATCCACATGACCTCCCCCATCCAAAAGAGACAGGACAACCGAAATTCTGGGTCAACTTGTACTCTAATATAGGCTATTAAAATTTTTGCTAGTAGTGTGAGACATAAACACCAAGCCTGGAATGAGAGTCCGAGCCTTAGAATTAAGAATTCCCCTGCTTTTGTTGTACTTCCTGTGATTTTCTACTTTCCCTTTGCAGTGTCAGGCGCCCCTTTCATTTCTATCCCTGTTCTTTGACGGTCAATCATTTCTGTTCTATACATCTGTCACGGTTGTTACCCTCTCTTACATTTAGGGCCGGTCTCATGCTGGCATCTGTCCTCCAGTCCCATCGTGTCCTCCACTTTTAGTCAAAAACACATTCTTACAACTCCAGGGGATCTATATCTAGATTTAGATCGATAGATAGATATAGATAGATAGATACAGATAGATAGATATAGATATAGATAGATACAGATAGATAGATAGATATAGATATAGATAGATATATAGCTATAGATAGATATAGAGAGAGAACATAGATTTAGCAGTTGTAGGATCATTATAAAGAAGCTATACTTTTTTTTTCTTTTTTCTCACGGTCATTTTCGTGTATATTAGAAACACACACAAAGAATAAAGCAGTTCTGCTTTACTCAGAGTCTAATCAGCTGCTTTTTCTAAATTGTGAACTGAATTCTATGGAGAGCTAACTAGAAATGCAGCCTAATAAGAGAATATCACAGCTAACACAGATAAAGATTTCGGTATCAACTGATAAAAGTGAATTAAACTTAAGCAGATGTAATGATCTTATGATGTGATTAAGTAGTATTTAACAATTAGATTTTCCTTTTTTCTTTTTTTGAGACAGAGTTTCGCTGTTGTTACCCAGACTGGAGTGCAATGGCACGATCTCGGCTCACTGCAACCTCCGCCTTTTGGGTTCAAACAATTCTCCTGCCTCAGCCTCCCGCGTAGCTGGTACTACAGGCGCGCACCACCATGCCCAGCTAATTTTTGTATTTTTAGTAGAGATGGGGTTTCACCTTGTTGATCAGGAGGATCACGATCTCTTGACCGCGTGATCCAACCACCTCGGCCTCCTACAGTGCTGGGATTACAGGTGTGAGCCACCACGCCCGGCCAGATTTTTCTTTTTTTAAATAAAAAATTTATTCTATCATGTCTTCATTTTGTATTGCATTTTAGGCTTTGGGGTACATGTGAAGAACATGCAAGATTGTTGCATAGGTACACACGTGGCCGCGTGATTTGCTGCCTTCCTCCCCATCAGGTATATCTGGCATTTCTCCTCATGCTCTCTCTCCCCAACTCTAGATTTTTCTAGACATTATATCCTTGCAGAGTTATAATATTAATTCACTTTAAAAATAAAATTAAATGCTATTTTGACTCCCTTTATCATAAAATATTTAAAATTATGTTTAAAAAATTGTTACATTCCAATGCCCATTACTGTACATCAAGCATGCTGTTTAAAGATACAAAGAATCTTTCCACTTTTAAAATCCCTTATTCAAAAAGTATAACTAATATGTCGATATATTAGTGTATCCTCTTTAAAATGCTAATATCTTTGGGAATTTAATATGATAAAATAAAATGCCAATTTGGTATTGTAAATATTAAAATACATAAGGTCTTATTAATTGTGTAATGTAATTTATTTGTAATGCATTGTTGGACTACAGATAATAATTATGTATGTTAAATATATGCTTTTCACATTCTTATTTTATTTTTCAAGCAGGTTTTTGAATTAGGAAAATATAATATATACCTGATTATTTGTCATTGAGAAAATTAACCTCAATAATTAATTTCCCTATTGTTGAGGAGTTCATTGTTCAGGGGACAAATATATAAATAATGTAAAATAGAATAAATACTGTACAGATACAAATAATGTTGCAACTCAGCACAGAGAAACACACAGGCAGCAATCAGCTGAGAATAATGTTACGGAAGATCATGGAGGAGGCGCTATTTTCCTTGTGTCTTGACAAATGAATACAAATACTGAGGGTGTGGAGGGCTAGAGGACATCTAGGAAGAAGAAATAGCATTGCCAGATGTATAGAAGTGTACAATGGTATTATGCTTGGAAGACAAAAGTGATTTTTTTTGTAAGTAGATTGCAAGATATGTTTGGATTGTGGTTGAGGTTGTTAATAAAGAGAAGGGATGGACTTTGTGAAACTTATTAGACTTTTTCACCATAGAAAATGGGGAGCCAGTAAAGATATTTGAGTAGAAGAGAAATATAATGGTTGTTTTGTTTTGTTTTAGGTTTTCCTAGGGAGCATATTTAAGAACTGATCAGACTGAGGGCAGACAGTACAATGATGAGATGGCTGCCAAATGCCACTTACGGGTGAGTGTCTAGACTTAAACACAGAAGGAAGGTTTTGTTTTGTAGCTAAGCCTATTCTGTCTATGGGAAAGCTTTATCATATTTGGACAGATATTAGTTAAAGCCTCTAGTTAAGTGTGATAGTGGAATTTATTTCCATCTCTTTCCCTGAGAATGAGTCAGTGATAGGGTCGCTAGAGTTAAGTTCAGTAAATTGGTGGTGAAAATTATTATTTTAAAGAAAAATTCGCATAACAAGTCTTAAACTATATCACTTTTTTTCTTTCCAGTCCTCAAAAATAGGTAATCATAAGAGTTTTGAAGCGTTGCACGTCAAGAATTGGTGAGGCTGTCAATCTGAACACTGACACGTTACTCATGTGTGAGTGAGAGAGCAAGGTGAACCTGAGTTAGAAGTCAGACTATGTCTTTTCTATTCAAATACTAACCCTCAAATATTTTCACATAAAATGTACATTTTAGATTAATTTTTAGCAATGTTCTAATGAAACCACAGTTTCTAACACCTTGTTTTTAAAGCAAAATGAAGGAATATAAATAAATATTTGGCTGAAGTACAGAGAACTACATAAATAAAAGCGTCCTGAAGCTAAGTGAACATATTTTGTGCAGCTGCAGTTCTTAAATTGTGCACATGCCATTCAGAAAGGTGATCACAGGGGAGAAATTGAACAAAAGCACTCTAAGAACATCTCATTTTCAAAGATAGTCAATTCTTCATTTGGTTATGGATAAGCAGAAGTGACCAAATTTACAGTTAATCCTAACTGAAATTATGTGAATAGACTTGAACATTTCTAAAAACATAATTGCCAGTCAGAAATACTGCAAGTCCGGCTTGGTGTAGTAGCTCATGCCTGTAATCCCAGAACTTTGGGAGGCCGAGGCAGGCAGATCAATTGAGGTCAGGAGCTCAAGATCGGCCTGGCCAACATGAGGAAAATCCCACTCTACTAAAAATACAAATTAGCTGGCCATGGTGGCATGGGCCTGTAATCCCAGCTACTCTGGAGGCTGAGGCAGGAGAATCACTTGAACACAGAAGGCGGAGCTCACAGTGGGTCAAGATCTTGCCACTGAACTTTAGCCTGGGTGACAGAGTGAGACTCTGTGTCAAAAAAAAAAAAGAAATATTGCAGGTCAAAGAGGGCCCCATCCTTCTGTTCACTGCTTCTGGAGGAGCAAGAATACTGCCAGGAGTCTAAGGAAGACAAGGTGGAGGTGAGCATGACTAACACCTCCAGAGTTGTGAAAATAAAGGGAATAGTAGGAAAAGAACAAGGATAAGAAATTCCAGCTCAGAATGCATCCTTTCTCAATTCAGTTCAAGTTTAGTATTAGAAAAGAATCAGAGCTGTTTGAGGGAGCATAATATAAATTACAACAGATAGCTTTTACCTTTCCTCATCAATAAATGTATGTAATGTTATTGTCTTAAATCATTGTGTATATATATTATTTTTATATGTTTAGATGACCTTTATAGAAGAGTAAACTTGTCTGTAATTACTGGATATATTTCTAGCTAAGTAAGTTTACATTAAAATTATTTTCAGTTATATAGGCTAGTGTCATTTTAATTGCTTTTTGGTACGTGTAACCTATATTCTGCTATTACTCTGGCTAACTTAAATTTTACTCTATAGCAATTATTCTTAACATTTTCAGAGCACATGTTAAATATAAATGACACGTTAAATATAATTTCTTTTTATTTCAAAAGAAATAAAAGCTGACTAAATTATTAATTTACATTGTGCTCAAAATTATTTTTTAATAACTATGGCAAAGATAAATGTCCTTCCAATTAGCACATTAATTGAGCAGCTACTATGTGCTGGGCACTATTTTGGACACTGACTATGAAAATCAGATAGTATACTGTATTGAATTCATTTCTATAAAAATGTATACATTTATTAATTAAAATAACAGACTATATGTGGAATAAGCTAGAAAAGTGGTATTAGTTATCACCTACATTTTCTTTGGAAAATTGTAATTCCGTAAGTGAAAAAAGCCAGAGAAGAGGATTCAGATACATCAAATGCCAATGATAGTCCAGATGTGTACATTTTCTTATTTAACATAAAAACATTTTGAAAGAAATGATAGATGTTAGACCTATTTTATTAATAGAAGTTTTTCAAGTCAATTAATAGACCAAATCTACATCACTCATAATAGGATATATGGCACTGCACAACAGTTTAGTCTCACTTCATAGGTCTGGTTCTATCACCTATTACAAGTTATAAAAATTATTTGAACTGAGTTTGAAACAATGGTGAAAATTGAATGAGGAGAGTCTTAGATAATTTTATGTTCAGGAAAGGCACAAGCAAATCGCAAGGCAAAAATTTTTAGAAATACTATGGATAATAATAGATGTTTTCCTCTGCTTAGATAAAAAAATATATTAAGAAAAGTGGGATGAAATATCTTTGAAAAGGAATTTGTCCCTAACTCATAAATATCTCTGGATATTGGGATAAATGTTAGACTTTATTCTAGAGGTAACTGGAAGGTTTTGAAGGCTTTTTTTTGAGATAGAGTCTTGCTCCGTTGCCAGGCTCCAGGCTGGAGTGCAGTGGCACAATCTTAGCTCACTGCAACCTCCGCCTCCTGGGTTCAAGCAATTCTCCTGCCTCAGCCTCTCGAGTAGCTGGAATTACAGGCATGCGCCACCACACCCATCTAATTTTTGTATTTTTAGTAGAGACGGGATTTCACCATGTTGGCCAGGATGGTCTCGATCTCTTGACCTCGTGATCTACCCGCTTTGGCCTCCAAAAGTGCTGGGATAACAGGCGTGAGCCACTGCTCCTGGCCTTGAAGGTTTTTTAATTAGGTAAAAGGAATTTTGTAAATTGCTCTCAGAGAGTGCAGAGAAAGCAATAGAGATGGAAACATTGTGAAAGAGACAATTAGGTCATGAACCAGAGTAATAGGAGTAGAGTACTAAAGAGGAACAAGTGAAAAAGGAATTTCAAATTAGAAAATTTCTTAAATGGAGAAAAACATTTATTATTTCACCTTTGTCAGATATTGTAGAAAATTAAAATTAAGAATTAATAGCCAAATTTTTGGACACATTAACTCTAAATTACCAGAAATAAAAAAGAAAATGTCTTTAAAAGATGTGAAACATTTATGAAAAGTATAAACAAAAAATATTGAAAACTAGATGATTATTGTCAAGAGCAAAAACAAATATAAGGAAATATTAAAATATCAGTAGCTGAACTTCTTAATAGAAAAAAAGACTGAATACATTTAAAAATGATGTTTTATTTATAGAGGAGATTTCTTGAATGAGATAAAGGAGATGACTTGGAAAAGTTAAAGAAGGTAATTATCCTCAAATTTTAAAAATGTAAAAAGAAAGCAATGTCAAAAATATTTAAATTAGGCCAGGAGCCGTGGCTCATGCCTGTAATCCTAGCACTTTGGAGGAGGCCAAAGCAGGGGAACCCTTTGAAGGCAATTCAAGACCAGCTTGGACAGTGAAGTGAGACTTCATCTCTACAAAAAATCATGGTGACATTTGGCTGTAGTCCCAACTAGGCTGAAATGAGAGGATCTCTTGAGCCCAAGAGTTCAAGTCTGCAGTGAGTTCCAATTGTGCCACTGCATTCCAGCCTGGGTGACACAGCAAAACACAGTCTCTAAAACAAAGAAAATAAAAAAATTAAAATCCTAAGCCACACAATTTTTTCAATATATATATATATATATATATATATATATATATATATATGTTTTGAGAATTTCAAATAAAAATTTCCAAAGGTACATTTTGATGGGCAGTGACCATCTGTATTTTTAGTTTCGAATATCATGTTAAATACCAACATAAGAAAACAACAAATATTTCCTCAAAAAACTAATTTGCAACCATAGTCAACTATTGATTATCTAAGAACAAATGAAACAGCTGTAAAATTAACCCTAATTAAACTCAAATAATATATTTGAACAGTGAAGAGATTAAGATAGTTACAAATCAATTTAATTACTATTCTTTTCCCAATCAAGTCATTTATATCAGCATAATGTTGTAAACGAAGTATTTAACGTGGGATCAGGAAACTTCACTCTAATCTTAGCTCCGGCTTTAATTAGTGGGTTATAACGATCATGCCAATTTCTCCACGATTTTCTTTCTATCTTTGTAAAACTTGGAGGAGTTGAAGTAAGAGAGCTAAATATCAATATACACTCAGTAAAAGGAATTTAAATTATCTTTAAATATTTCCAACTAATTATTAAGGCTAAGAAAAATATATACATATGTAAAATTTAGAAAGCATTAATTTTATTTCCCATATAAAAATGGATATCCCAATTTGGTTGTCAAAAGAAAATTTATCCTGTAATAGTTTATTCATTCTTTGTGATGCATGTAAGTAGTTTGGGGTTTATTTTCCTTTCTGTTACATCCCTACAGTTTAGCCATGTTGATAGAATTGACCACAGACCATTTGCATTCTCTGTAGAATGTGATTCAATTAATAAACACACCATACTTTATTATTTAGTAAAGGGAAATACTGCATAGTTAAGTGAATTGCTTCCGGTTTTGACATTATACAAGGTGCTGCATTGATCATGAATGTCCATATCTTCTGACAACTTGCAATAGTTTTTTTGGGTATATAGCTACCTATTGGATTGTAAAGTATGAACTATTTTCAGCTTTACTAGGGAATGGCAACTAATTTTCTACAATATTTCTGTCAATTTACAACACTACAAGGAAAGAATGAGCATTTTCTTGTGCCACATCCTTGTATTTGTAAGACTTTGTGGTCAGTACAGTGATTAAATGGTATCTCATCACAGTGCTATTAATTTATCTTGTAATAAAATTCCAAACCTTTCTTGGCAATCTATTTGATGAAGCAAGTAGTTTGAACTACAGGCTAGTAGTTTGCCCATTTTTAAATGTTATATTTTGTTGTTATGTACAGGACACACACACACACACACACACACACACACACACACGATCTATTTAGGGGTTCTATAATGTTTTCCTATAATACTATTTTTATCCAGAAAGGTATTATATATATTTTGTTAGATTAAATCCTCAATATTGAGGGGAAAAAAAGTGATTGGTAGCATAGTGCCTTTAAAAAAATTATATTCTCTATTTTTTTGGTTGGTAGAAATGTAAGTAAACTTATATGCTAAATTTATGTCCAAATCTTTGCTAAGTAATACTAATTACTTATCCATATTTTCGTGTAGGTTTATAGCTACATTATTATACCATGTGAAAACAATGACAGTTTAATTTTTTTTTTTTTAATTTTTTATTGGATTATAGGTTTTGGGGTACATGAGCAGAGCATGCAAGACAGTTGCGTAGGTACACACATGGCAGTGTGCTTTGCTCTTCTTCTCCCCTTCACCCACATTTGGCATTTCTCCCCAGGCTATCCCTCCCCACCTCCCCCTCCCACTGGCCCTCCCCTTTTCCCTCCAATAGACCCCCGTGTTTAGTACTCCCCTTTCTGTGTCCATGTGTTCTCATTTTTCATCACCCACCTATGAGTGAGAATATGCGGTGTTTCATTTTCTGTTCTTGTGTCAGTTTGCTGAGGATGATGTTTTCCAGATTCATCCATGTCCCTACAAACGACACGAACTCATCATTTCTGATTGCTGCATAATATTCCATGGTGTATATGTGCCACATTTTTCCAATCCAGTCTATTATCAATGGGCATTTGGGTTGATTCCAGGTCTTTGCTATTGTAAACAGTGCTGCAATGAACATTCGTGTACATGTGTCCTTATAGTAGAACGATTTATAGTCTTTTGGATATATACCCAGTAATGGGATTGCTGGGTCAAATGGAATTTCTATTTCTAAGGCCTTGAGGAAACAGAGATATAGACCAATGGAACAAAACAGAGGCACCGGAGGCAACACAACATACATACAACTATACAATCTTTGATAAACCTGACAGTTTAATTTTTACTGATATTCTAATAGGTAAAAGTGCATTCCAGCAATTAAATCTAACTTGAACATGACATATTATTGTTATATTGGGATTTAGGGGTTCAGGGTGCCCTCAGCTCCCCTGAGAGGACATTTCTCCAGGTTCTTGGTCTCCTGCCCTCTCAAGAATGAGAGAGGGGACCACGGCAGTGCCGTTAAATGCAGGACTCAAAGATGTTTGCAGAAAGTGATTTAATTAAAGAGAGAGAGAAGCAGGAGGAGAGAGAAAGAAACAGCTAACTCTCACACTGAGTGAGAGAATCCAGAAAGATGGAATCCAAGAGAGGAAATAAGCTTCCACATTAAGTGGAAGGGAATAGAGAAAGATGGAGTTTAGGAGGGGAAGAGAGGCTTCCACCAGAGAGTGTAGAAGGGGATCCCAAAGGGGAAATCCAGGAGAGAGAAACGGACCCTGGCCAATGAAAGGAGTTCCTTAGAACTTCCACAAGGGTGATTGACCCTTAGTTTTTTCCCCGCGCCTACAAAATTTGAACATAAACTGTTAAAATCTCCAGGTTGGAGAGAGATGGGAGTGGGGCATGGGGCTGGGACGTTCTTGCCCTTCAAACTACACCCCCTTGTGGACCCAGAAAGAGAACACATTCCCCCATTATTATTTTTTAATAAGTTGCTGTTTAGTAGATAATGTTTTGCTTGAGATTTTTGCATTTGTGTTTATGATAGAGCTTTATCTATAGTGCTTTTATCTTAATGTTTTTGACTGATATTGACATCAATGTTGTGCTAGTCTCATAAAATACGCTGGTAATTGCGCAGTTTTTACTCCTGACAATTTGTATACCATTATTTATTTTAAAAATGTTTTTGGAACCCACTGGTAAAACTATTTGTGGGTGACTTTTTATTTGTGGGAAGATTTCTAAACTACTGATTTGATTACTCTAATTGTTATCTCCTTCAGGTTTCATATTTCTTCCTCAGTTAATTTTGTTAATGGAATTGTCTACTTCATCTAAGTTCCAAAGTGCACTGACATCAGGTTAGTAAAATTTTCTTGTCATATTTATCTCTGCAGTATCTGGTATTATGTACTTTTTCATTCCTTATGGAGTTTATTTGCACCATTACTTATTTTGCCTTAATGAACCCTGTCAGAGGATGATTCAGTTTATTTTATTTTACACTTAGGAATAATTTTGGTTAATATGATTCTAATTATAAACTTTTATGATTTATTAATTTCTACAGTTTTTCTTTTACTTTCCCAGTGTTTATTCATTACTTTTCAGCTTTTTTTTTTTTTAATAGTAAGCCTATGTGATTCCTTTTAACATTACCTTACCTGTATCTGACAAGTGTTGATACAGGATGATTTTTCTTTTTTTTTTAATTGTAGATCTTTATTATTTGATTATATGTCCTTTCAACTTTCTCAAAAACAGGTCCTGTTAAATCATATGACAGACTTTAATTTGCAAGGTATAATTGAATTATATGCATTCCAAAACTTATCTAAAGCATAGTTTCATGAAAAAATGTGTTTGAAAATTTAAATGTTTATTATTTACACCCTCCAACCATTTACAAACACTTTTTGTCTTTTAATTATGTAAGTCTATTAGAGAGATTTCTATGTGGGTTGAAATCTTTTTTTTGGTCACCAACAGTTGAATTGAGAGCAATTATTTTTGAAAAACTCCTGCAAAAAGTCTTGCTTTGATATTATAACTGTAACACATGTAGAAAAGTATAACTGTGTTTATTCTATCATATTTTTTTAACTGTACTTTAGGTTCTGGGTACATGACCAGATCATGCAGGATTGTTGCATAGGTACATACATGGCAGGGTGGTTTGCTGCCTCCATCCCCCAGTCACCTCCATTTGACATTTCTCCCCATGTTATCCTTCCCGACCTTCCCACCCACCACTGTCCCTCCTCTAGACATCCCCAACAGACTGCAGTGTGTGATGCTTCCTTCCTGTGTCCATGTGTTCTTGCTGTTCAACACCCACCTATGGGTGAGGACATTCGATGATTGATTTTCTGTTCTTCTGTCAGTTTGCTGAGAATGATGGTTTCCAGATGCTTTTTCTATTGACAGCTCCAAATATGTTCTAATTCTCATTTTGATTTTAATAATGATCAATCAGTTTAAATTTAATAACATTTCCTACTTTATTTTGTATAATAGTTAAAATATATTTTACTGTCTTTTATTATTAAATCATCCTAATTATGTTGTTGTCAGTTAACGTTGTCTGAGGTTCATGAAATGTAGTTTCATTTTATTTACTATCTTATAAAAATATTTTTATGTTTTATTTATGTATTTTTTATGTATTTTTAATTTTTAATTTTTAATATTAATTTTTATGTATTTTTAATATGTTGTTATATTTATTTATTTTTTTAATTATACTTTAATTTCCAGAGTACATGTGCAGATCTTGCAGGATTGTTACATAGGCATATATTTGACATGGTGGTTTGCTGCCTCCATCTCCCAGACTCCTGCATTAGGTATTACATTTGGTCATTACATTAGGTATTTCTCCCAATGTTATCCCTCCTCAATCTTCCCATGCCCTGATATCCCTCTCCTACTCCCCCACCCCCTCAAAAGACCCCACTGTGTGATGTTCCGCTCCCTATGTCCATGTGTTCTCAGTGTTCAAGACCCACCTATGAGTGAGAACATGCAGTGTTTGGTTTTCTGTTCTTGCATCAGTTTGCTGAGAATGATGGTTTCCAGATTCTTCCATGTTCCTGCAAAGAATATGAACTCATCTTATTTTATGGTTGCATAGTATTCCATGGTGCCACATTCTCTTTATCCAGTTTATTATTGATAGACATTTGGGTTGGTTTCAGCTCTTTGCTATTGTAAACAATGCCACAAAGAACATACCTGTGCATGTGTCTTTATAATAGAATGATGTGTAATCCTTTGGTTATATACACAGTAATGGGATTACTGGGTCAAATGGTATTTCTATTTCTAGATCCTTGAGAAATCGCCACACTGTCTTCCAATATGGTTGAACTAATTTATACTCCCACCAACAGTGTAAAAATATTTCTATTTCTCTACATCCTCTCCAGCATCTGTTGTCTCCAGATTTTTTAATGATTGCCATTCTAACTGGCATCAGATGGTATCTCAATGTGGTTTCAATTTGCATTTCTCTAATGACTAGTGATGATAAGCATGTTTTTATGTTTCTTGGCCTCATATATGTCTTCTTTTGATAAGTGCCTATACATATTCTTTGCCCACTTTAGAATGGATTTGATTGTTTTTTTCTTGTAAACTTGTTTTGGTTCTTTGTAGATTCTCAATATTAGTCCTTTGTCAGATGGGTAGCTTGTGAAGATTTTTCCCCATTCTGTTGATTATGATTTCACTCTAATGATTGTTTCTTTGGCCGTGCAGAAGCTCTTAAGTTTAATTAGATCCCATTTGTCTATTTTGACTTTTGTTGCTATTGCTTTTGATGTTTTAGTCATGAACTCCTTGCCTATACCTATATCCTGAATGATATTGCCTAGGTTTTCTTTTAGGGTTTTTATGGTATTAGATCTTATGTTTAAATCTTTAATCCATCTAGAGTTAATTTTTGTATAAGGTGTAAGGAAGGGGTCCAGTTTCAGCCTTCTGCATATGGCTAACCAGATTTCCCAACACTATTTATTAAACAGGGAATCCTATCCACATTGCCTGTTTTTGTCAGGTTTGTTTGTCAAAGAGCAGATGGCTGTACATGTGTGGCACTGCCTCTGAGGCCTCTGTTCTGTTCCATTGGTCTATATCTCTGTTTTGGTATGTACCATGCTATTTTGATTTCTGTAGCCTTGTAGTATAGTTTGAAGTCAGGTAAGGTGATGCCTCCAGCTTTGCTCTTTTTGCTTAGAATTGACTTGGCTATGCAGGCTCTCTTTTGATTCCATATGAAGTTTAAGGTGTTTTTTTCCAGTTCTGTGAAGGGGGTCATAAGTAGCATGATGGGGATAGTGTTGAATCTATAAATTACTTTGGGCAGTATGGCCATTTTCACAACATTGTTTCTTCCTATGGAATGATTTTCCGTTTGTTTGTGTTCTCTCTTATTTCCTTCAGTAGCGGTTTGTAGTTCTCCTGGAAGAGGTCCTTTACATTCTTTGTTAGTTGTATTCCTAGGTATTTTATTCTCTTTGTAGCTATTGTGAATGGCAATTCGTTCTTGATTTGACTCTCTTTAAGTCTGTTATTGGTGTATAGGAATGGTTGTGATTTCTGCATATTGATTTTGTATCCTAAGACTTCACTGAAGTTGCTTATCAGCTTAAGGAGATTTTGGACTGAGACAATGGGGTCTTCTAAATATACAATCATGTCATCTGCAAATAGAGACAATTTGACTTCCTCTTTTCCTAATTGAATACCCATTATTTCTTTTTCTTGCCTGATTTCTCTGGCTGTAACTTCCAATACTATGTTGAATAGGATTGGTGAGAGAGGGCATCCTTGTCTAGTGCCAGTTTTCAAAGGGAATGCTTTCAGTTTTTGCCCATTTAGTGTGATATTGGCTGTGGATTAGTCATAAAGAGTTTTTATTATTTTGTTATACGTTCCATGGATACCTAGTTTATTGAGAGTTTTTAGCATAAAACGCTGTTGAATTTTGTCTAAGGTCTTCTCTGTATCTGTTGAGATAATCATGTGGTTTTTGTCACTGGTTCTGTCTATGTGATGGATTACATTTATAGATTTGCATATGTTGAACCAGCCTTACATCCCCACTATAAAACCTACTCCATCGTGATGGATAAGCTTTGTAATGTGTTGTTGCATTCAGTTTGCCAGTATTTTATTGAAGTTTTCTGCATCAATGTTTATCATGAATATTGGCCTGAAATTGCCTTTTTTAGTTATGTCTCTGCTGGACTTTGGTATCAGGATAATGTTGCTCTCATAAAATGAGTTAGGGAGGATTCCCTCTTTTTGTATTGTTGGGAATAGTTTCAGAAAGAATGGTACCAGCTCCTCTTTGAACATCTGGTAGAATTTGTCTGTGAACCCATCTGGACCTGTACATTATTTGGTTGGTTGGCTATTAATTACTGCCTCAGACCTTGCTATTGGTCTATTCAGGGATTCAACTTCTTCTTAGTTTAGTCTTGGGAGGGCGTAAGTGTCCAGGAATTTATCCATTTCTTCTAGATTTACTGGTTTATGTGCATAGAGTTGTTTGTAGTATTCTCTGATGGTAGTTTGCATTTCTATGGAATAGGTGGTAATATCCCCATTATCATATTTTATTGCATCTATTCCATTCTTCTCTCTTTCTTTTTTTGTTAGTCTGGCTAGCAGTATATCTGTTCTGTTGATCTTTTCAAAAAAACCAGCTTCTGGATTTATTGATTTTTTTGAAGGGTTTTTTGTGTCTCTATCTCTTTCAGTTCTGCTCTGATTGTAGTTATTTCTTGTCTTCTGCTAGCTTTTTTTTTTTTTTTATCTTGCTCCTCTAGTTTTTAAATTTGTGATGACAAGGGGTCTATCTTAGATCTTTTCTTACTTCTCATATGGGCATTTAGTGCTATAAATATCCCTCTAGACACTGCTTTAAATATGTCCTAGACATACTGGTACATTGTGTCTTTATTCTCATTGGTTTCAAAGAACATCTTTATTTCTGTCTTCATTTCATTTTTTATCCAACAGTCTTTAGGAGAAGGTTGTTCAATTTCCATGTAGTTGTGTGGTTTTAAGTGAGCTTCTTAATCCTGAGTTCTAATTTGATTGCACTGTGGTATGAGAGAATGGTTGTTATGATTTCCATTATTTTGCATTGCTGAAGAGTGATTTACTTACAATTATGTGGTGAATTTAGAGTAAGTGAGATGTGGTGCTGAGTAGAATGTATATTCTGTGGATTTGGTGTGGAGAGTTCTGTAGATGTCTGTTAAGTCCATTTGGTTCAGATCTGCATTCAAGTCCTGGATATCCTCGTTGATTTTCTGTCTCATTGATCTGTGTAATATTGACAGTGGAGTGT